GGGCTTGCCCGCCCGAGGAGCGAGACGCGGGAGGCGGCTCCTGGGCGGGGCTCGCGGCTACAGTGCCGAATAGTGAGGGCAAGGGGGGCAGTGCCCAGAGGGGCTCTGCAGGGAGGCTGAGCTCTCACCTTTATGCAGAGGGGTGAAAATTCAACCAAGCCCTCGTCCCCAGAATGTATAGAAAACCCTGGGATGGGGTGGCCAGGAGGGAACAACTGCAACAACTCTCTCATCCTTCATCGAAGAAATAGACTCTGAGAGATAATGGTGACTTAACTACCCTTTTTATAAGGTTCAATAACTGAGAGCAAGAATCAGAGTGGGAGTCCCTATCTTTGTGGGCACTGCCATTTACCCTCCACTCAGGTAGATGTAAACCTGCTTCTCATGTTTGTGCATTTATTGCATTAAGCCTTTTGCCCTTTTAACCTCGATTAAATCCTCACAACCTTACTATGGGGCTAGGTTCTATCACTTCCATTGTCTAGGCAAAGGAACTGCGGTTTTCAGTATTTGCTTTAAGTCATCAAACTATAAATGGTATTTGGATCCAAATCCATACATTTAAAATCCATACATTTTGGATTGTGACGCCTCAAATCTAAGCATGGTCTTAGCAGCTGAGGAGTAATCAGGTGTTTCAGGCTGACAAGTTTAGGACTCTACACAGAGGAGCAAACCAGTCTGCCTTTTTCGAGTTTTTGAAAACAGTGACATAGCATTGCCAAATGAAGATACATAAGGGTCTAATTTCTTTTGAAGACACAACCTGAGTGCGATGCAAAAGAAAATACAACTAGAAACTTAAAAGTCTTTTCCCTAATGACAAAGAACTCCTTCCTTAATTTTCCAGCTGAAACTTGTGAACTCATAACTGTGGGTTTTGCAGGACCAGAGTCATAGACATGCAACCTATGCTGTTACAAGGGGCCCTGTGCTTTCTTTAATGCTCTGATTTATAAAAACTGAAAATTAACAAGGGGCGGCATTTTTATTTTGCATCGGACCCTACCATGGTGTATCTGGTCCTGCATTCTTGTCAGAAAGCCTGTCCTTGGAAATGAACTTATGACTTGATCCCAGACAGCAGATGAAAGGTCCAGTTCTAAGTGTGTTCCTTTAGCATTTACTCTGCGAGTGCTCTAAATCCGCTAGTGACTCTAGCTTGTTTAGCCAGGCCATATTCACTAATTTAAATGGTCACAGCTTTTCTTCCTTAAAACACAATTCCTGGCTGCTTAATAGAGACAAAATTCTGACAGCCAAGTCTTACCAGTAGCAGGCAGAACACACAATGACAAGAGCAGCAGCATCAACATGTCTTTATTAAGCACATATTCTGTACTGGATACTGTGCTAGAAGCTGATACAGCCGGGGGCAAACAAATTAAATTTGTACTCTTGGGTCTCGAGTCAGCTGAGAGACGCAGAGATTGATCAACCCACACATGCACATAAAGTTTACATAAATTCCTACAAGGAAAAGTGTAGAATTCTAGCGAGTGTGTCCAGACAGAGGGATTTTCTCAGGAAGTAAAACTCCTGAGGACTTCCGGTAAGATGGCGGAGTGGTGAGCCGCGGAGAAAGAGCCTCTCCGAGATTTGTTGTCCTGACACTGAAATATAGCAGCGCGAGGAGGAGAAGGAGGAGGGAAGTGGGTCCCTGGACCCAGGAAGGATCTGAGGTGAGAATTGAAATCTACAGGGAGAGTGAAGAGAGAGTCTTTAAGGAGGAGGAAGAAGGTACCAAGCAGCACTCTCTCCCAAAGACCGACTCTCAGAGAGGAAAAGTGGGCTGGCAACCCCTAGGCCTCCAAGGAGAGCTGCACGAGTGGAATGGAGGAGTGGCCGCACCAAACTGCAGCAGCTGGTGAGTTATTGGCGTTCAGGAAGTAATTTTCCCAGGGTTTGCTGGAAATTTCAGACTTAGTGAACAGGAATACTATAGCTTACTATAAAATGTTCCTCATTAGAATTGATTTTCTTTAAACGAATTGAAGATGTTATCCAATATTTAAGTAACTGCTTAGCTGTAATTAGTGATCATACTAGTCAGTAATAATGAAAAAAAAATTGTGGTGCTAGGAACTGAAGCCAGGATACACACAGGCTAAATGCATATTCTACACCTCTAGGCCTCAGTTTCTTTTCTTTTGAGGTAGGGTCTTACCACATTGCCCAGGCTGGCCTCGGAATTGTAAGGTGCCCTCCTACCCCAGCCTCGTGTATAGCTTGGACTGCAGCAGGTCTGCACCACCACACCTGATGCAAAATTTTAAAGAATTTAGTATTTCTCTCTTTACCCTGACCGTATCTCAGTAACAGAAATCTTCAGCCTGATTAATAGATACTTGTGCTAGGAAATTGTGGACTTCTCTGTGGTTTCTCAAACTAAATAAAATCCTTTGCTTATGGGTTTCTTTCAAATAAATCCCTTTCCATTCCATCTTTTTGTTATCTGTGCAACTTCTCTTATTCTTCAAAGCACATCCACAGCCATTAATTACTCTTGAAGTTTTCATCTTTAACCTGTTTATCTTATTCAGGTTTCCAAATCAATGTCATGTTGCCATGGTATCCTTCCCTAAGTAATCAGTGATAAAACTGTGTGTCATTCCAGTGGAGTTGAACTTTACTAGAGGAGGGGTAACATTATGTTTTTGTTTCTTCAGCCCCTGACCACAGTGTTTGTTAACAATATGGCAAAAAGTCAAGGAGAGCCTGGAGTGAGGTATTTCAAGCTTTAAAAGAAAACAGCCTCCAACCTAGGCTTCTGTATCCTGCAAAACTATCTTTCAAAATTGAGGGAGAAATACAATACTTTCATGACAACACCTGAGAAACTTCATGAATACCAAACCAGCACTCTAAACAATTTTTAAAAAATCCTAGAAAAAGGCAGTGAAGGTCATAACTCCATGAGGCCCAACAGAGCAAATCCAATAGGCAAGAATTTAAAGGGAGAGGGAGAAAAATAAAAAAGCACCAACAACATTAAAACAACATGACAATGATAAGTCATCATATCAGTTATAACCAGCTGTTCCTCAGATAAGGGTCTACTATCTAGAATATGTTAAGAACTTAAAAAAAAAAATCAGACCCCCCCAAATCTAAAGATCCAATTCAAAAATGGGCATCTGAAATGAACAGAAATTTTCTAAGAAAAAAAGTAAAAGCAGCAAATAAACATGAAAAAAAATGTTCAACATCATTGGTCATTTGAGAAGTGCAGAGGAAAAAACACATATTCCATCTCACCTCAGAAAGAATAGCTGCCATCAAGAAATCAACCAATAACAAATGTTGGCAGGGTTGTGGGGAGATAGGAACCCTTCTCCATTGTTGGTGGGAGTGCAGACTGGTGCAAGCACTGTGGAAATCAATATGGAGATACCGCAAAAAACTATGATTAGAAGTCCCATTTGACCCAGCCATTTCTCTGCTGGGTATCTTCCCAAAAGAATTAAAAGAATCATACCACATTGATATATGCTCACCCATGATTACAGCAGCATAGTTTGTAATAGCTAAAATTTGGAGACAGTCCAATTGCCTATCAACTGGAGACTGGATAAAGATTTTTTAAAAATAAAATGGAGTACTACTCACCATTAAGAATGAGAAACTAGAGATATTTACAGCTAAGAGGACGCACATTGAGGCCATACTCTTAAGTGAAATTAATAAGTCACACATGTGTTAATACAGAATAGTTTCTCTGGTGTGAAAAACTAAAAGTGTAAATAAGGATCAAAATGTATAATTGATATTGTGTAATGGGAAGAAAAGGTCTAAAAGAGTGGAGGAAGTGGGAGGGGTAGGGGAAAGGTAAAAAGGGAAAAGAAAAAATATGTAAAAAGGAAAATCATGGAAACAATGTCTTTGTAAACAGGGAAGTTTGGAGTGGGTAAAGGGAGGGCTGTGGAATGGGGAAAAATAAGAACCAAGATAAGCCTTGTAAAGGTACAAGATCCCAGTGACAAATATAACTGTATTATATACCTAAATTGTATCAATAAACTTTATAAAGATAAAAAAGATTGCTGATAATAAAAATAGCTGCCATGTACTCAGCTTCTAACGTATTACAGACATTCTTTTTATTTTACTTTAATTCCTATAAAATCTTTTTTTTTTCAGCTTTAATTGAGTTTATTGGTACATTTTAGGGATACAGTACAGTTACATTCATTGTTGGGATCTTGTACCTCTACATGACAAGTCTTGATTCTCATTTTTCTCCCCTTACCTCTGTCCCCCCTTCACCCCCTCCTCCCCTCCCCATCTACAAACACTTTATTTTCATCTTTTCATTCTCTCACATTTTTTTCTTTTCCCTTTTTACTCTTTCCCTACCCATCCCATCTTCCCTACACCTTTAGCTCCTTTCTTCCCATTTCTAAATGTCAGTAATCTTATTAGAATCTTATGCAAATTATCTTAGTCTCTACAGTGACAGTTTCTACAAGAACTTGAGTTGTGGTATATTCTGCTTAGTGGCCAACTTTTGACCATTCTACTCTGCTGTCACCTAGACGAAAACAGATATTGGGAAAGCAGAGGGATTTAGAAGGACAATACAAATTGAGAGCTAGAAGCATCCTTGTAGACATAAAGAAAGTCTGCCAAATAATGAAG